CCCTGCACATCGGGGCTGTGTGAATCTACCAAAGGGCTGTCACAGAGCCCTGCACACGGGGCTGGGAGCATCTGCCCAAGGACTGGGAGTGATCCCTGCACTCGGGGCTGGGAGCATCTCCCCAAGGACAGAGCCCTGCACACGGGGCTGTGAGCATCTCCCCAGGGACAGAGCCCTGCACACGGGGCTGGGAGCATCTGCCCAAGGGCTGGGACCAAGCCGTGCATCTGCCCAAGGGCTCTGGGACCCCAGCTCAGGTAGGGTGCAGATGAATCCCCCTCCTGGGCTCTAGAACCCAGTTTGCTGTCCCTTTGCCATAGCTCACTACCAAACACCTCTGGGAGACAAAACAAGATATTCCCCTCCCCATTCCTACACCTCTCAGGCTTTATTGAAAACATGGGAAAAGAGAAAGACAGGTGACACTGGTGCCCCACGGCTTTTCCTTTCCAGTGCTTCCAGAGGCAGGTTGGCCAGCACTGCCTTCCCTTGCACATTCTGTCTGAAGGTGCAGCCAGTGCCATATATTAGCTCATGCTTCACCTCACTGTTTTGTGATTTTCAGCATATGTATGTTTTATTTTCTTCCGTTTGCTTTTTGTTTCCCTGCTGTTTTTGTTAAGACTTACTGCTGGAAATTCTCAGCTACGTGGAGAACCTGTTTTCCATTGATGACTTCTCTCAAAAACATGGATGGGAGCTGTAATTGCTAGTATTTGGGCTGAGAGATGGTATTTTCCTTTAATGATTGACTTCATATATCTCCAACAAAATTACAATGGAAACTAAAAATAATTTAGCACACTTTTAGTAGAGCTATTATTTGTATGATAACAAAGGAATAATCCCATTAAAAGTGCTCACCTCTTCACATGCTCCTTTGGATTAATGAGCTAGGCAAGTATAAAAGGCCCTCACCCTTACATTATATTGATTATTCTGGTAATTTTATGAAATCTGGATGTAATTTATTAAGTGTCTGCTATACACATTTAAAAAGTACTTTCATTGCAACACTTGTGTCAGTTTTAAAACTTTATTTTTATTACAAAATCAAATTGAGGAATTTAAAAATGTCTATGCTTATTTTTCTCAAGAGACTGCACTGTATCAGATCTAATGGATTTTATCAACATAATTCTGCCTGAATTGAAGCTTGAGAAACCACTGTCAGAATACTAAGAATTATTTTTCTGTAATGTTTTAAATCAATAATTTAGGATGATGATCTAATTTCAGGACTCACCCAACTATAACTCTGCCTTCTGGCAACGTTCAATAATTTATTAAAATACTTAAGCACAAGACCTGGTGCACTCAATGGCAATGTAGAGAGAAAATAGGTTTGTTATTGTTTCTGGAAGAACTGTGTCTATTACTTAGCCTAGTATAGGGCTCTTGGGAATTGACTCACTTCCTCAAAGGCTCAAATATATTAATGGACTTTTAATTTCTTTCATGTCTTGTCCTCTTCTTATCATCTTTTTTGTTCCTTTTTTACAATGCACTTGCAAGGTGGTCAACAGGGCTGGTTAGTTAAGTGTTAGGAGTGTGTAAGAAGGCAGAGGGAAGGTTTGTTATCTTGGCAGCTATTGCTTCAAAATATTTTTTCATTTTTATGTATCTGTAAGCAGAAGCAAAATTAAAGATGTGTATGCTCTATGGAGTAAAGTATGTGCTCTTCTGTGCAACATATTTAACAAATACTATTCTGAAACTAGTATGATTCAGGCTTTAGCTATTGTATTTTGGGGTTGTCAGCAGGATTTTATCGTGCTGTCTGCCTAACAAGGTAAAGCCTTTCCATTTAGCTCAGACTGCTGATGAAAGTGGGGTTCAAGGTGCAGGATTGCGAATTAGATGGGAGAAGCAGGCACATGTTCTGTTGACTTCGAACAGAACCAAATTCTCCAACAGAACCACTGGAGGCAAAACATTCAGTTTTGGCAGTGAGATTTATTGGAAATTACTGAAGATGTCAGCCAGCATTTTTGCCTGCAGTCTTCCAATAAAACCAGGATCCAAGTCAAATGCCCCTGAAAATTGTAGCTTAAGCTGTTCTCACAGTTATTTGGTATTTGAAGCTTCAAATAATAGGAAGCCAACACTATGGACTTATATAAATTTAATTTCAGAAACAATTCTCTCTCTGGATTTCCTAAGCTACATGACTCACTTCAGTCAAGTACAACATTATGTAAATCACAGTTAGTGACCATTACCTGTTGCTGCTGCCACAGAAACCCATTATATACTGAATTACATGAACAAAACCCACCTTAGCATTTGGAGTGGCTTTAATTGTCCAGATACAGTCAACTGCTTGTCCTGGTTTTGTTTTTCCTTCTTGTTCTACTTGACTGGAACGCACTATTCCATCAGCTCCTGAGAGCTCAAACTGGCAGTCTAGGGAGAAGATAGACCTTGCTGTCAAATGCAATATGACATTAATTTAAAATTTCATGTATAAAGAAATTGTTACTGTAATACTATACCTGGGATGGGATTTAAAATACCTCCTAGGTAAGTGAAGTCAGGATCTGTAATAGAAAGAAGTCATGAATCACAAGGGCTATCACTGCTTGAGAATCACTTCAAGCTTTAGTATTTTCTGCAGATTATGTCCATTTTTTATTATGTCACAAAAAAAATTGCCAGAAAGTTTACTGAATCAATTGGAGCATATAAAGACAAAGTTTTTTTAGATGAGAACATTATTCCACAAAGATTGACCTTATCTGAAAAGCATAATTCTACCCTGACAGCTCAGATTTCCAGCATAACACCAAAAACTGCTATTCAGTATTTTGTTCCGACATTATATTCTGAATTTAACCGTGTTAGTTTTCACTGAAACTGCTGGAGCTCCACAAGAGTACAGGGGATCTTTCTCTGTGCAAAAAGCTTATTTAGATATATTTTATCAGACTGCTGTCTATATAGTTCTGAACAATCTGAACTGAGCTTAGCAGAGTATATCAACACTTAGAAATTGCTAACTGCTCTTTAGACAGTATGGGAAGAAGGCTGCTCAATCCTAAAGGTACTGTTCCCTGGGTTATCTATCTCTTTTATTGGGCCATGCAGACCAGCTCTAGACATGGTTTAGGAAATGCTGTTCTAGGCAAAGAAAGCCCTAGTTCATACAGAAGTGCACACTGGTTTAGTACAAAGTTCTTTTCCAAATGAAGGTCCAGAGTTTGGCTCTTTCTGTGATCCTATAAATTATTTTTTCTATAGGAAGTTCATCACTTCCCCTAGAATGCCTCAGTCCTGAGCTTAAGACTCAGCACAGTTCAGGACATGCCTTCTTTGTCCTCCTCTTTTTATTTACCTATAATGAAAATCTATGATCATTGTATGCAAAATTCTGCAAGGTTTTCAACCTTCTTTGCAAACTTTTTTTATGAAGCAGGAGTATGTGCATATGTTCCCTTTCATTTTTAAAACAGTAAAATATTTTACCACACTTCATAAAAACGAAGAGGAAGGAAAAGAAAAATATGTGTCCTTCAGTTGTTGTAATCTATTGTGAAAATAATATACAGTTTAAATGTATATTTAAAATTCCAGCCCTGCAACTACAGTAATTTAGTTTTGAAAGTGATCTTGATGAAATAAATGGCTTTGGAAATGGACTCAGCACAATGCATAAGTACTGTCCCCGTGAAAACATTTTATCATGTAATTCCCAACGGTCTGGTCACCATGTTAATCTGCAGTTTCTGAGTCTAAATCCCTAAGCAGTAATATATAATCATGAATTGTGTTTTCATGTGCTGTAGGGGTAAGGATAACATTAAGAAGTTATGTTTGTGTATACATTTATTGAAGTGGTAGAGCTGACATTTGTATATTGCCTTTTGTCCCAAAGGACAATAAAATGCTGATAACTACATGTGTAGTATCTATGAATACAATAGTCAAGCACTGCACAAGGACATCAGGTCAAGTTTTCGTGTAAGAAGGATGCTCTGCCAGGTTTAAGTAGCTCCACAGAGCAGATGTAATTTTTGTTTGTCTAAAGGCACTGTCAGCACATTGTCCTCTCCTTTGCACCTGTGAACTGCACAGCACTCTGAGCAAAGAGCAGCTCTGTTGTCTGAGCCCAAGGGTTGAGGGAATCCAGTTATACTGAGAGCTTGTGCTTAGACTGTGCAGATATTTGCTCTGGGTTTTCAGAATGGAGATTTAAAATGTTTTGCATCTGGAGTGCTATTGTAAATTGGTTCATGTGTTACGTGCCCAGAAGAGAGGCTGGTGAAAAGGCAGCTCAAGCACACGTTGTCTTTCCTTTCCTACCACTGGTGAAACTGGCACAAGTAGAGAAATAAAGGGTGCTGCTGAAGACCAGCATGAACAAGCTCAACTGTCTTCCTGACTAGCAAACTACAGATCTGTAATTCCCTTCAGTCAAGGTTCCCCAAGAGTTTTTAGCCATGTGCCCAGCAGGATTAGCAGGACTGAGACTGTGGCTATCACACTGTCACTGTGCCTCTGTAAGTGCCCATGCTGAAATGCAGCTCTAGGCTGAGAGGACAAGCACACCCACAGAGCTCAATGGGAGCAGATAGTCATTAACTCCATCAGAATTTTAGACATCTTTACCTGGTATAAATGAGTACTTTGCTTGAAATCCCTTTCCTTCCAGCTCCTCATCAGAAATAAACTTGATCCACATGAATCTCCCTGTTGATCTAATTAGTGCAGGACTTTTCAGACCACAGTAACGATTAATGAGAGGGGAGAACCCAAAAGGTCCATCTCGAACCTCCAGGTGATCAAACCGACATTCAAATGAGGGTTCTATGTAATAAGGTTCATCAAAGGTCAGCTCAATTCTTTGTCGTGGAGCAGCTAGACATAAAAAAAATTGAACAAAAGATTAAATGAAGATCTTGATAAAACACATAAAGACATTAATTAATGAAGAGTCAGGCCTCCAAAACAGCAAGATGATAGAGAAACTGGAAACTTCTCAAAACACACAACTACAAAAATTTAAAAAATTATTTTCTAAAAGTTACTTTTGCATAGAATCATGCAAAATTTTTTGCTTGCTCATCTTAATTGTTGAAAATTCAGAAATCACATTAATTTAATGCAGCACATATAACAGATATGAACATATGTACAAAGGTATTCAAACAAGGTTAAATATTAAGATATAAATTAAAACGTGTTCTGTGAAAGCAAAACACATAAAAAAGGACAAAGCACTGAGCTATGCAGAAAAGAATGGAAAAGAGAAACATAAGAAGAACCACTCAATATTTCTTAAACATAAAGTCCAAATTAGTAGATCTTTTCACAGAAGACATCTTTTATCAGAATATTCCGAGAAGTGTAAGTGCTTCATATATGTCAATGATATGCAGGTGGCTGCAGGTGAGTGTGAGCCTGTGGCAGCCTCACATCAGGATTGGGATCAGAGCCCTCAGTCCCGACTCTCACATCCATGCTTTGGATCCCAGAACCTTCTCCTGTGCGAATGGATGGCTTCAGTGTTCCTCACTCCTGGCATCAGCTGCGCTGCGTGAACCTCCCAATCCCGGCTGGCTCTGGAGCGACAGCGCTGAGGAATCACACGCTGCCGCTTGTCCTGAGTGCCAGAAGGATTTTCTCTGGCATCTCCATCCCTCCCAGCACACCTTCTGCCTCACTCACAAGAGCCACACGCATTTGGAGCTGCTGGCAATGTTGGCAGTGCTCTGCATGAAGGAGCAGATCTTGGCTAGAAGCTCTGGAGGGCCTTGGCCCCTCTCAGGCACCCAGAGTGTCGCAGACATTTTTTCATAGAAATCCTTTCTTTCACGTTTGTCCATCTTCTGGGAAGCAGAGCCCCAGAAGAAGAATGTAAACAATTGTTATCAGCTGCTGTGAAATGCAGCAAGTGACCCTGTGATTGGCTCATCTTCCATGTGTACCATTAAAGGCCAATCACAGGAGCAGCTCAGGGACAGATTCCCTGCACACAGAACTTTGTTATTCATTCCTTCTATTCTATTCTTAGCTGAGCAGCTCTCTGCAACTTCTCTTCTTATTCTTTTTAGTATAGTTATAATGTATTATATATCATATATCAATAAATCAAGCCTTCTGATCAAGAAACAAGATTCTCGTCCTTCTCTCACCACAGTGACCGTCTAAGGCCACTGTAATATCAGAGTGTTTCTGTGGGAGGATGAGGAGAGCTGGAAGCTGCTCCTGTGGCCCAGCCCTGCAGCCTGGCTGCTCCCTGGGGCACTCCTGGGCAGGAAAGGTGCAAAACCACCATGTGCTGGGAACAAGCAAAAAGGAGGGGCCTGTGAACCACTGCTGTGCTGTACAAATAAAAACTCATCAAACCTCATTACTTGAAATATTTCAATTAATTGATATGAATCTGATGATTAGGCTGACTAGTATTTTTAGCTGACTTCAGTGGGGTTTGGGTGCATTCTAATAAGAGGAAAAATAATTGGAGTGTCTCAAGTCTTGCAGCCTTTATTTAAGATATTCTCATTGGAATATGGTTTTATTCTATTAATGACATTTTTTTGTCCTCATCACATTATTTTAATAGTGACCTCAGCAGTGCTAACAAATCTCTGTATTTTTAGTACAGTGCTATGGCAGCCAGATATATCTTTTTATTAATGAAGGACAGCATAAAGGTTTTCTGCTGGTGAGATAGAACATTACAGCATGGTATGAAATAGCCTTCATCTTTTGCAATCTATTATTAGTGCTATTAAGGTAACAAGCTACAATTTTTATCTTACTAATTCCATATCTTCATGGATTACAGTAGATATGCTGCTCCTTTTCCTGGCTGTGAGGATATGTCTTATTATACACAGCCAATTTCTTGATGTTTGAATTTCTTATTTATTTGTTGTTGTTACTTGAGAGAGACAATTTAGCTTCTTGTTCAAGTAAATGACTGCAAAATTCATTATATTACCAATATGGCCATGCAACACTTTACAGTAGGGTAAGATGACAGTTTTAACAGCTCAAGATTTTCTATTTAACAGCAAGATTACAGCAGAACAAAACAGAAATGAAGCATGTACCTTCTAAGATATAGATGCACTCTTGATTGGGTGGGTACATGTTTGGGTAGTTTGGTGAAGCAAAATGTCCTCCATTACTGGTCCGGACCCAGTTGTCACACTGGGTGGGAGGAATGCGATTCACTCCAATGTTTTGCCCACCTTAAGCAAAAAGAAAAAAAAGTGATCAAATAAGTTTCTTCTGCAAGCAGGAAGATTTGATAAAGTAAAATTCTGGCATGACACATAGCCTATAAAGAAGAAAGTAATTTATTTTGGTTGCCCTCTTGTAAAGCACTCATTAATATCTATCTAAGAAAATCTTATGTTTAATTTTGTGGTGGGGTATATCCTAAAGAAATCACAGTTTTTGAATATCAAATATATCCAGAGATCCTTGGAAAGGAGAGGGAGTAATTTTTTTTTAAACCCAACTCAGTTCATGTTTTTGATACTCTTCTTTCTAAGTTAAACAGTCTCAGCAGCTGCCAATACCATTATTTTATGGGTTATGTCATCTCCATTCCTATGTAAATATAATCAGAAATATTTGTCAGCTTTCATTGGTTTTGACCCTGATTCCAGAATATGTTAAGGTGGGATATCTATTTACAGTAATTTGCTGGAATACAGGATGTTTGTAACAGAATGAATTTCAATATGCAAATACACTAAACACAGCAATGGTAGTTTATGGAATTCCTAGATTGCCCTAGTAGCTAAAGGTTTCATTTAGGATCAAAGCTCCTGTTCTGGATGTACAGGGAAATGTGTTCTGTGACTGAGATTATGCAGTTTAGTAAGGTAATTCTTCATGCTGGATCATTCACAGAGCTTGGTTCAGATTTCCTTGTCCACAGAGATGAGGTTGGGAATCCCTGACATTGTTAAGTACCTTTGGCCCTTCTCCTTGGTATCCACAGAATTGGAGAGAGTAAGACATAGGATATGTATTTTCAGCTAGGTATTTCCTAAATCTCACAGGGTACTCACAGTGTTATTTATATTTGCACAGTTTTAATTTGCAGACCTGTGAGAGGACATCCATGCTGGTACAGGTCTTAGATGCCCCCAGTAAATTACATCACCTTCCACTGGTACCTTGACAGCTTTTTGATTTATGGGGGTGAAAACTCTCTCTATTCTGCAGAAATTTTTCAAAGAATTTCTGTAGGTGGCAGTTCAAGGAATTCTTCTCTCTTAACTGTGGGTAATCCCACATATGAAAAAATAAGGTTTGTGCAATTGATTCCTTCCCCACTCAGCAGGTTTCAAAAATGTTTGTGGGTGGACTATTTGAAAAGCTTGTTGTCAGATACAGAAAACATGAATTTCTGTGGTGGTTTCTTTCCCAACTCTAACATCTAGAAGTGTAGAACTTTACCTGGGAAAGTGAAACTTCCATGTTCTTTGTGACTGCATGGCTTTGTTCATTTGGGAGAAAATGCAGCAAATGGGGGAAAATGGAAAATCCTGAAGTTCATACTGGTAATTCAAGAGCTATTCATATCTGAATACAAATATTTCATTTCACTTATATTGCTTAATTAAAAGTTATAAAACTGTTCAATTTTTTGAGAGAGAATCATCAAACTAAAACTGTACCTTGTGTCTTCTGTGCAACAGCAATGCCTTCCACTACCAGGATTGTTACAAGCAACACTGATGAGAGAAATTGGACAGGAGAAACATCAGTAATTCTTCAAAGTTATAGACCATTTTCTGCAGTCCCAGTTCATGCAAATCCTGGCATCACTGACCAAAACAACTTATGACCAAAACAACTTACTGACCAAAATTTCAACTCATGAAACCAGTGCAGTCTATGTGCACTGCTGGTCCTTCTTCCAGGCTCCTCAAGTGTGTATGAGAACAGCAATTCATTGTTTGAGGGGACTTTTAAGAATATTTTCTAGAGTTTACATGGTTTCTGCTGTCTATAAAACTTTTATATCCTGCAACAAAATGTTTCACTGCTACAATGAATCATATTTATCCTAAAACTCTATTTGCATAATGTGTGCAAAAGACTTCTCCAGCTTCCAAGAAATTAATCCTGACCACAGGAGACACTGAGTGGTCTTAACCCCTCCATAGATTTCACAGATTTGTGCTTGCAAGAGTGGTTGTTGAGATGCTGCCACACAATAGCAGTGGTTTCTGCAAGTGATGAGGGAGTAGAAAATGGGCAGATGCACGTTCTGGAGATGGACAGCCTCCTTCTTCCTTTCCTTCCTTTCTGGCTGTTTAACTTTTGGCCTTTCCCTTACATTTACACATTCCCTGCACCCAAGAAGCATCCATATGAAAAACTCCATATCCCACAGTCCATCAGCAATTTTAAAGCAGCCTTAATGTTTAGATTGTCCCAAATGCTTTGTCAACTCTGTCCCTTCAAATTGTTTAGGATTCCCAGGAGGGGGAAAGAGAATGAAATCGAATAAATTAACATGCCACTCTTCAAATCTTCCATTTGCTTGCATCTGGAGTATCTCAGAAATTCTGGCCACAGCTCTTACAGAACTACCTAAGCAGGCCTGGACTGCCCTGGACAGAAGGCAGCTGAGGGGAGATAAGACAATTTCCAAAACCACAAGCGTCACTGAGATTGGGAACTGAGCAACTACTGCTTGTCTCTTCCAGTAGACAACCAGGGGGTGTGAGACAAAGCAAGCAGGTGGCATGTTTGAATTAAACAAAGCTTTTTCTTTTTTTTTCTTTTTAAATGCACATAATTCATAATGCATCCTTGAGGTAGAAAATTCTGTTTCAGAAACCCCTTAAGCCATAAGTTGTTGGAATTCTGGGATGTATTTGGGGCAAATATAATTTGCTCTATTTTTATACTCATTCTGCTTTTATATCTCTGTGAAAGAAGATAGCAAGCAAGATGGACCTTTGATGTGACCTGGGATGGCCATTCCCATGTTCTTAATCTACTTGTCAGGCAGGCATGGCCTTAGCACTGCAGGGCAAAAAAAGAGATTTCAGCAGGAATTTTATTGTCACTTTCAAGAAGTTAATTTTATTTTCCCAGCCTTCCTGCCTTGTTGCTCAGGCATTTCAGTGGCTCAGCTGAAATGGCATTTTTTCCATCTGTGCTTTTCCCTGTGTTGCTGTTGGACTCTGAGCCCTTTGGAGCTGCAGAGTGAGCATGCACTGACTGTGAACCACAGTGATCTTGACTCAGCTCATCCAGATGCTCCTCTAACACTGGCATGGATACATCATCTTGGGAAAAGATTAAAGGGATCAAAGTCTGCTCCTGAAAGTGTCCATCTAGCATTTATGTTTTATTTTGTATGTTTCTGCTGCCCTTTCTTATCTCTGCCCATACTGAAGTAGACTGTGTTTCATTCTGAAACTTTCCTTACCAACAACTGCTTTTTCCTGTGTAAGTCAGTTCATAGCTGTGGGTGTTTTCTAAAATACCATATGGGTCTTGCAAACAAGTGCTATGTTCTTAGAAGCTTATTTGATTTTTAAGGATGGATTATGTTAGAGTAGGTGAAGATTTAAGCAGTTTTTCAATTTCCATTTTTGCAACAATTCTGAATTTTCATCAATATTAATATACTTAAAAATATACTATCTGTCATTATCCAAATACAAAGCAGATGCTGCTAATCATTACTGACTCACCCCAAACTGAAAATTCCTCCTTCAGAAGAAAGGATCTAGCACCCATTACTGGTATTCAGTTATGGATGTCTTTAAAGCAAATGAACAAATATCCCATCTTTATTAACACATGATTGACAATAGTTTTCAGCTGGTTTTAGTTTTTACTATTCCTTACATAGGTATTATTTTACAATTATTTACAGTTTATTTTTGCATTTCCTCTGTTTAAACCGTACACTGAAGAATCTGAGTTTATGAGTTGCATGAACTTCCAATGCATTTGTACTCCTGAGATCATTTGTCCCTAACAGAGAATCTTGACAGGGGTTATAAAGTTGTCATTCTCTTTTTTACACTGGTTTTGGTGCAACACTTCAATGTTGACTTTTATTGCTAAAGTAAAGGCAGTTTCCCCAGTCCTGTGTAAATCATGTGGCAGTATGTTCTATTGAATTCACCTTTCTTAAAGATGAGCTGTGCCCACCCTGTGTTTTGCAAGGACAGAGCAAGCTCTGTGTAACTTATGCTGCTTCTCAAAATGCAAAACGAGCTTTGACTTTTTTTCTTAAAGCAAACACACAGAGAAATGTGAGTGAAATTAAAATGTGACTAACAAAATGAATGCAAATAGTCACTTTCAAGTAACAGTGAAAAACTGAGGGTTTGTTGGTTTGCTTTGGTTTTTATTTAGTACAGCTTTCCTATGGCTACCACTGTTCCAATACAGTATTTTTAAAAAAAAATTCAGTATGCATCTACATTTATTTCAGTGATTGTACTGGTGGAAACAACATAAGAATAGATGTTCTGTTACACTAACCATTGATTTCCCTTCTTGCTGATGTGGATAAAGCAGCAACCCCCCTAAAAGGACTTCAGAAAGCCTGATTGGCTTTCACTAAAGCTGTGTTGTTTCTATAAATAGTCCTGTATGTGTGTAAATGCAAACAAACAGAGCCTATTCCTTGCAGAGGAACATGGATATTCAGGCAACTAGAGAAGATATGGGTTGAATATTTGTCGTACTGGCTTATTTTGTCATGTTCTATGGATGACTGGGAAGGTATGGGCCACCTTCTGTTTGTTCCCTGCCCTTTCCATCCTCTTCAGTTTTAATCTCTTACACCTTGTTCTTGCCCTTCCCTGGCAGTGCCCATCCTCCTCATGCTCTCAACAACCCTTAAGATGCATTCAGCAGCCCAGATAGCAAATGTTCCAGGGTCTCCCTTTGGCACTTTTATCCAGGGTGACAGTCTGATAAGAGGTGTCCCTGGCTAATGGTCGGGATGTGTGCTGTCTTCATCAGAGACACTGCTGGCAGAAAGGTGGGGAGGACTTACCTGTTCTTCCTGAGAGTACTGGGCAGGATTGCCTGAGGTAGTATTGCCTTGAACTGAGTGCACTGACATGACACAGTATAATGTGGGAAAGCCAACAGGAGCTAAGGGGCTGTAAACAAGGTCTATCAATACTCAGGATGAAAAGAAAAGGAAAAAAATAATCAGTCAGGATATTTTGAGACCTTTCCGACTGTTTCCATTTTTGTATGCATTTTAAAGACAACAAAGCAATCTCTTGGTGTCCTAAATTCATACTACTTCCTGGAAAAATAATTTCAGATCTCAAAGACTAATTTGCACAGTACAAATCCATAAGGAGGAAGATGTCTACGAAAGAGACAAATCCTGGAAGTTGGTGCATTAGAGAGCCATTGCTGAACCACTGTCCTGGGGCTGCAGCAGGGACACAGTCACAGCAACTGGAACAGACATGAGAGACTGAACACTTTCACTAACAGTCTTGTAGCACTTCCAGAAGGATGAAGAATGATCTTTTTATTTCTAATAAACTGCAATTCAAATATTGATTGTGCATCTGAACTTGAAATGGGACACAGTATTCCTCTGCTCCTTTTTTCCTCTCTTTTAAAGTCTCTCACAGATGTCTCTGACATGACTATTCTTCAGCGTGGATGAAAGGTAAGTCTAGGCTCAGCTCCATAGTCTGTTATGGTACAGGAAACATCAGCAGTGAGTAAAGATGCCACTGGAACATGGCATGCTGATGTAAGCAACAGCACAGTGCAGGATTGCACTGAATATCCAAGGGATTCAAGGGGAGAGCTGGAGGTTTTGTTTCACCTGGAGGAGTATGATGAGAATTCTCCCAGAGGAGCCTGAGCTATGGGACACGGACCTTATGAACTCAGAGATACTTAGGTGATAAATGTAATAAAAGTTAGTGCTGCTGCACCTTACAGTGGGCTTCCCCTATGATCTGTACCCTGCAGAAGAGGCATCCTTAAGCCAACAGCAGCAGGCACACAAGGCAGAGACTGAGGAGCTTCTTTTATTCATGAATCTGCTATTTGTACTTGTATTTCATGAATTATGGTGCACACTCTTGTACTCCTATTTAGAGCTCTGATAGTTTATCCCTGTGTGAGCATGAACTAGAAACACAGAAAAAGCAGCCAGCTTCTGTCTGTTTTTAAAATAATGGATTTTTCATTTTCTTCACTTCTTTGCATTAAATATTTTAGATCACATATCCTGCAGACAGCTGTATACATTTTGAAAAGTGAAGACACTAAACATGCAATTCAAGTTCTTACTATTCTGTTGCTGAAGTAGGCTTACAAAATAACATAAAAGAAGCCCTTGAATTGGTGTAATAAACTGCATTGTTTGCAGAAGTCAAGATGTTCTTTGTTGGCATTTCCTAAATTTTATAAAGTAAATCTAAGCTAAAAAAGAAAAAATTAAGGCAATTTCTGCATTGGAGTATACAGAGGGAGGCTCAGAAATGTGTGGCTCCTACTTCTCTTTAAAAATGAGAATACTATAGTTAGTTTTGCAGTAAATGGGTGCTCAACCCAATACTGAGAAATCAGCATGTTGCTTGGATAAACAAGTGCTTTAGGCTGCAAATCTGACATATGCTTGTACTTTATGGCAAAACCCATTCTTCAGATTTCATGGGATACAGTTCAGCTCTGAGCTCCCCATGATCCATCTTTCCCCTGCTCTTTCTGCATGCTCTAGGGATCTTCCCACAGAGACAGCAGACTCGATTTGCTGTGTGGCTCTGAGAGCAGTGTCTGTCTTCAGTGATGACAATGGGGGATCTATGCATGCAGGGCAAGCTGAATCTCAAACTGGGCAGCAGTCAGGCACAGCTGAGAAACATTCCACCATGTTTTAAAATAAAGACTTAATCATTTAGAGTATTACACATTCTTAGTGTAGTGGTAGCCAGAATCCTAGGGATAAAGATGACAGGCTTTGCTTAAAGCAGGATTCATTGGATCTCTGTGCTCTGCTCCTTGGATCAGGCAGCACCTTGTACACACACAGTCCAGAGGGATGGTAATTGGCAACTCACGGGTCATGCATGTTGGAAGATGTTGCCAGGATGCCTGCTTCTTTCTGGCAGATACAGCCTGGAGTAACAAATGCTTGATCTTAATTATGTACTCTGTTTTGCCTTATGGGAATGGTTCCTTTTCTGTGTATTCTTCTTCAACTTAGCTCCTCATTTGCCCTGTGTACTAAAATTAGAGTTACTTTCAGCAACTGCTCATCACAGTATTTCAGGTTTTATATCCATGTTATACTCATGCATCGAAACAGTAATATTAGCTATTAATGAGTTGAGGACATTTATGATTATTATATCCTATCCTATTCTCTGGCCAACATGAACTACATGTTTTGGTTGCTTGTAAGGACTCTGATTAAGGATTAGTTGCTGCACAAATTCAAAGTGAAGCATTGGTGGGTGGTCTCATAAAGAACTTGTACAATTTAGACAGACAGGTAAAGTGTCCAGACACCTTGGATTTCATGTAATTCTGTGTGCATGGTCACCTCCTTTTCTTTCAAAAAGCTTGTTAATGGCTTTAGGATTCAAGCCATTTTTAGCTCAGAAACACAAACTGTAAATTTCAAGGAATGAGACTTTTCTCTCTCTTCCTAGCATTTGCTGCGTTTGTTAATTGACAAAAGGAATACTGGATTGCAGCTGTTGCTGCTGTATTTAAGGCTAACCATTCTGCTGCTGAGGATGAAAACATGGCAGTTTTTGAATCCCAAACATTTTTATAACTCATGGCCTGTATACATTTCTTAATCTATCGCAGTCTCAACAGAACATTTGCAGATTGGTAAAATGAGTATCAAAGAGCATTTAAGGTGGCTGCCTACAACTTATCCTATTAACAGCTCCAGTGGTTTCCTCATATTGGAACATACAGCAGGATTGTCACAGAATAAAGTACAGGGATGAAGGTGTGCATCAGACAAGACATATTTCAGCTGGTTTAAGTCTTACCCAGAGCATGCCAGTGGAGCTGCCAACACATTTTTAATCCTTCTCACAGAAGCTTGATAGCAGAAGTGGGCTTCACCAGCTATTAACAGTGACTCTGGTGCCTTCTAAGATCCAAATCTTGTTAGCCATTAACTGCCAGCAGGGTATGTGAATGCATTCAGGTCTATTCTCAGATATAACAGTTTCATCTCACTCCAGCTGTTTCCAGTAGGGATTCCTCTCTTTAAGATTGCCAGAGAAACAAATTGGGACTCTATCTCTGCAGAGAAACCAGGTTAACTGATTCAGGAAGTAAGTGCAGGTCTCCCACGTCCCTTTGATAAAAATCATCTCCAGAACAATTCATGCTTGGATGGATCTGTGACAGAGTCCCCTCTAGGTTGGCTAAGAACATTTAATGTTTCTGATCCTGTCCCCCATTAGAAATGTATAAGCAGCTGTGAGCTGCTTCATTTTACCAGTTGCTCCACATCCTGCTACTTATAATCCATCCCTGGCTCTGTCTGCCAGCAAAACTTCTGCCAGAATAATGATAGCTTTCATTTTTAAAATAGAAACTTTCCTTTTTATATGGAAGAGCCCTTTTTTTCATCTCCAAGCTGTGTGCAGCAAGAGACTGATGAGAAGACTGCATGTGCAAACCATGTTGATGAGGGGTTTCAAAACCTTATTAAAATATGTACACTGACTTCTAAGTTCAGATGACTTCCCTCTAGCTGACAGAGCTAAGAGCTAATCCTGCTGCATATGACTATTCTGAAGACATCTTTCCCAGAAATAGCTTATTCCTAGAGAAATTGGATAGTGATACTTTTGACTTAAAAATCGATCAGATGATACCAGAGTTCTTTATCTTATTTATTAGCAACATACTATATTTGTCAGTGGAAATAATTTCTGGAATGTCTATTACAAAATTAGTATTTAAAGTTCTCTTCTGCTATCTTCTTTCATGTCTAGCACCAATTTATGTACAGACTATAATTTTTTATTTTCCCGCTTTTCACTCTCAGTTCCTTAAAAAGAGACTTAACTTAGTGTTCATCAGTTTTACCATATGATATAGAAGGAGGTTTTGTGAAATGATTTCTTAACATATTGGCCATCCTTTGCTGCTGCATAGTGGAGTCAGCTTTGTAGTAACAGAAAACTGAGTGAAGCACAAAGATAATCTGAAAGAAATGTGGATTTTTTAAATTAAAAGTTACCTGCTGTTTTTTGTTGTAAAATTTACACTCACTCAATCCCATATCTTGCAGTATTTGAGGTGGCAGTTGCCAGTTGTATGCTGACAGAGGCAGCAAGCTGTTTAAAGGTAGCAAGCTGTTTAAGTTGTCCTAAACTGTAAGTGCTTCATTAGTTAAATAAAACCAAATTGGAATGTACAAGGCAGACAAGCAGCAAGCTTGTCTGCAGTGTTAGAATCCCAGCTTGAATCCAAGACACTAAAATTTTGCTTCAGTCCAGACAAGTTATACTCCTAGTGCTGGGTTTGTTTTGTATGTAAACTGCAAGTACCAGAGTATGTGCAATTAGCAACTCTCTTCATTCCTCCAGTGAATTATGACTTTCTGACAGGTTCATAAATGATGAATAGCTTATAAAGTTTTACTTCAAGGGTAATTTTTCTGTCTAATCTCTCCCTGTGAATTAAACCTTAAGGAAGATGCTGAAAATCTTAACTTTTTCATTAGATAGGGATACATAATTTAGTAGCTCCTTTAGCTTCAACCCAGTGTTACAGTATACTCTGGCTACCCCCATTTACATGACTTACCCACCAAAATTTGCTATTAATATCAATGTAATTGTAACCAAGTTGTTCTGTAAGAATTTTAGCAGTCACTGTCATCTTTGTCTTAGGAAAAAGAGGGAGTTAATGTATTTGAAGTTATGCTTCAGGGTGGTGCATTTTGAATATGAAGTTTGTATGTGTATGAAGAGCAAGGTGCAATACACACCACCAAACACTTGCCTTGTTTTTAACTGCAGCTTTTTGAATCCTGGTCTGCAGTTACCTGAGCTACTTTTGCTGAACTGCTTAGCACTGCAAGCAGTTTGGAGCTTCACTTTTTTCTTTCAGTGCAGCAGAAAAGGTGGAAAGCAGATACTGGTTAAGTAAAAAATATCAAGTATGACTTGATACTGCCTTTATTAGGGTCACTGTAGCTTCTACAGTCAGTACTTTTGCTTTTGGCTTCAATGAACAAATCATGAAACTATTAGGAGATTTTTGAATAACCTTTTTTTCCTGCTTGTTTTCAACTTTTTGTGGCATTACTACACCTTTTGGTTTTGGAAATAGGCAGCCATAATTTCTAGCTTTTGTGTGGAAGGAAGCATTACTTCCTAACACTACTTGTTTGTGAGAAATTAACTGTTAAAATCATGCCAAAATGCAAATGAGGAGCTGGAGCAGAATGGCAGGAAGTTAAATCATAGCAGTCCACATTCTTGCAACCTGATGGAGCTGGAAATAATTCTGTAGTCCACTGGAAGGTTGAGAATGTAGCAGTAATTTGTTCTACCCCTGGCTGCTTGTTGAATTACTGGGTCAGAAGCTAGAGAATTCTCTTTTTGGCTTTCTAAATTAATCCAATATATTAACTGAAACAGACCAAAACTAATGTAGAGGAAGGATTTAACTGACAGCTTGTACAGTTTTTTAAAGCAAATAACAGCATATGGAAATGAAAGAGGGAGCATATTTGAAGCATGGGAACAAGTCCTTAGCAAACCCATTTTGGGGGAACACCAGCTATGAGGAAATTCAAGGTAGGTATATTTACTTCCTAAGCCTAACAGGGGCATGGCTTTACTGTGAAAGCAGCTGCTTTTCTCTCTCATGAAGTGGCGGTTATGGTGCTTTACTCTTGCAGAGCAGTTGCATTCTGCAAGCTGTGCCAGGCTCAGGGAAGGATTCTAGCATGTTTAAGATGGCATTGAGAACTGAAGGCAGGAGGCAAAGGCTTTGTCCTCCAACAGCCCAAATGCAGCAAGCTCTTGGCCTCCAAAGGGTTCCAGAGCCCACTGAGAGAGCAGGTGGGCATTGGCTGGGCTCCACTTGAGCAAAAGCTGCAGCCACTGAAATCCCCGGGCTGTCGTGCTCCAGCAGCACTGCTGCCTGGGAGAGCTGGAGGAGAGCAAAGAATCCAGGCAGGATGGTGGGCTCAGGATGAGACTTTGAAAAGTTCTGCTGAACACTACAGACAGAGAAAGAATTACATTAGATTTTTATTTAAATAGTCCTTGATATTGATAGCTGAGGAAGAACAGATGAATAGCTCTGAACAAGCTTAATGTAAGAAATTCCAACTGCCACAAAGTATGAGGGGCTCTTTTCTGCCCTGAGGTAACAGCCACAAAATAGAATCTCTGTGGATGACAGAAATTGTATACATGCATTCCCTGTTAAGAACAGAAGATGTTTCTAAGAAGTATTAAATAAAATATGACTTCTCATGATACACTAAGCTTCATAGTACTTTGCATGTGGTTTAGCAGAACTCCTCCAGTTCTGCACATGAAGCTAGGTATGGAGAAAAAAAAAATTACTGCCACTCTAGGCAGGGCTTCTATGCAGAATTTAAGCTGCAATTTGTAAAATATGGATGGTTACTTTGAATTTTATTTCCAGCAATTTCCTTCTGGAACTGAATCTATACACCTATCTACAGGAATACACTTTTTTGTTTCTGATTAGGTGTAATAATGGGACTATGTAAGGACCTCTATTGAAGCAGAGCTAAAAGGGAGTTTATGATGCTAAGTAATGATAGGTTGTTTCTGTAGTCATGGCAAGGGATGTGTTTAGAATACTAACAGCTTATTGACTAATGGCTTTGTGCAATTTATGGATTATGGATAATACAAAAAACTTCCTGTAGAGGGACTTTTTTTACCCGGACACTAGTGTGATCATAAAAAAATATACAGCTCTGTTCAGTAGAAAACCTGTACAGTCAATTTTGCAGCAATCACATATTTTTGAAATGTAATTAAATCTGCATGTGTATAAACTATTTAAGTAGTAGATACAACAGCTGTATTTTATGGTTGTTTTATAGTGGCTTCTGATATTTAGATATGTTACTTAAAAGAGGTAGTAGAAAAAAGAATCTAAATGCCTTGTATTCCCCATGTAAGCCATATGTTCCTACGTTGTTCCTAAACTCTGTGAATGGTTAACAATATAGAGACAGACATTTATTAAGAACAAGTATCTTCTGTCTCTCAGTTATGATGTTAATAAATGAAAAATATTTTTTGAAACCTTAAAGACATAAAGTCCTTCATGCCAGGAACATGGGATTTTATGGCCCATGGAAACATTCTGGATTTAAAACAGACTTCTTTACAACTTTCATTCTGTGGGAAGACATCAATGTATACACTAAACAATTCTCCACTCTGCAGTAGTGCCTCGTTGGCTTCAATAATGCATGCAGTCACAACATCTCCTAACAGAATAATTTAAAATAACAATCATCATTAAAAAAACCAAACCAAAACAACAACAGACTGGAACCCCCATCAAGTCTGCTATTGCTCAAGAAGATACAGAATGCTAGAAATAATCTCTTGAGGCACAAGCTCAAGCTTGAAGTGCCACATCAAGATTTCTTTCCTAACAGAAACCCCTCGCCCATTGTCAAGCTGTATAAATAATAGCACAAAGAAATACTCGGATGAGGAGCGTTGCACCGTTGTTTACCTCTTAACAGAAATAAGTTAGAAACAAGATTTAAAAGCCTCAAGAAGAAAAGCACATGTAAACACCGGTCAGCGTGTAGCTTGTGACTCGGGTGACTGATTTTATGAAAACCTTACTGAAACCAGACTGTGTTCCCGATAACAAGTGTGATAAGCTGAACAGTGTGGAGCAGCTCGTCAGGAGAGTCACGAAAGCAGAGAGTATTTTTACTGTGAAAAGACGAGCGTAGGATTCCGCCGGTATGTCTCGGGAA